TCCCAGCTGTTGCTGGATGCCTTATCCATGCATACGTCTTTCTTCAGGTGCTGGATTTCTGACCTCTCCAGAGCTACAGGCTGTTTGGCCTGCTGGTGTAAAACACACGTGTCATCTGGATGGAAAAATAACAAGTCTTGTGCAATGTGGTGCTTGAGGGAGCTGTGAGGGAGCAGCTCCTGGAGTTTCCATGTTGCTTATGATGACCCCTGTGGGCATGGAGCAAAAGCAGAAGGGGGAAGGGGACACATGCCACTGTTGGTGCTCCTGGTCTGTGACCTGTCTCCTATGCTGGGGTTTATGGTGTGGAGACAAGAGTAGAGTGACACATCCCTCACTGCTGGGTGCTCACCCAGTCCTGCCAGCAGCCCTGGCCAAGGCTGCAAGAATTCAGTTTCTTCAGGCTCTGTGCTCTCCAGGTTTTCAGTGAGATCAGAACAAGTGCAATGTAAGGCTTTGAAGGAGAAAAAAGGTAAACCTTGGAGAGTGAAGGGACTCCCAGTGCTGGTGCTCATGGACTCCATATGCAGGGCAGGGACCAGTCCAGCCTCAAGGTGCCAGGTGCTGGAGGAAGAGAGTAAAAGTTAAGCTCTTCTTTGCTGCCTGGGGGATGCACATTTCTTTGCTAATGGGTTATTGGAATGGCTTTGTGAATGAAGTACCAGGGCAGAAACTGGTGAGGGAAGCATTTCATGATCATCTTCAAACTCTGCAGCTCTGTCAGGACTCCAGAGCAGCACATTTGGTCTCCTGCTCCCTGGGCATAGGAAGAGGTAACTGGATGGGAGTGTGGTGTTAAAATGTGGCTACTTCTGCAAATTTCCCATTGTAGCAGCAGCTGTGGCATGGCCTGTGAAGCAGGGAAATGATCACCAGCTTGGCTTTTACCTAGGGAGGGGAGCAGAAGCAGGTAGCCCAGGAGACAATCCCAGTGTGTCCCCTCATGTGGCAAGGCCTGAACCCAGCTGGGGATCTGCTGGTTGCCCCTGTCCCTGGATGGGCAATGACCCTTTCCCAAGGTTTGCTGGGGCCTCAGGAGCTGCTGGACCCAGAGCTGCTTGAGATAACTGCACTTTCTAGCCAGGCTGTGTCCTGAGGGGTGTTTGGGATCCTTCCAGCCACGGATGAGGTGGCAGGGAGAGAAGGGGAAGCGTGGGCAGCGAAACAGAGCAGCCTGTTTCCCTCCTCCCCTTTCATCCCCCCAACACAAAGCGCTGCTATTAACTCCTCTGAAGAGCCTCGGTGCTCAGGGTGTCGAGGATGCTCAGGGGATGGGTGTGCCCTGGTGACGAGACACACAGACACACACACGTGTGCATCCTCTGCCCGGCCACCTCGCCAGCCCCTCGGGGAGAAGGGCAGGGGTTGCAGGCAGCTCCGCACGTGTCCGCTCGGCTTTGCAGCTCAACGCCCGTTTTAAAAGCCCGAGTGCTCCGGAGGCAGCCCCGGGAGGCTCCCGGGGCAGGGATGCTCCCCAGCTCCCCTGCCCCCCTGCCCCAGCCAGCAGGCGGGTGCTGAAGGCTCTGCGGGACATCAGGCTTGTAAGTGGACAGTGGTGACTGCTCAGCAGCTTCTCGGCTTCCGGGGGAGGTGGGTGCCCTGGGCGGGTGTGACGGTCCCTGGGGGTGCAGTGGTGGATGTCTCTGTGTGCTGTTGAGGTGTGCCAGGGGTTCCCTTCCCCCGGGCAGAGCCCCAGCCCTCGGGTTGTGTCCAGGAACCCCCCTCACCCGTGCTTTGGGGGCTGGGGGGATGCTGTGCCCCCAGGGGAGCTGCTGGGGCAGCCAGAGGGGGGAAACCTGGTCTAGGTAGGGCTGGGCAGTGCCCATGTGTCCATGCATGTGCAAGTCTGCGTTGCTGTGAGGTGCTGTAGCCTGCTGTGATCTGTACCAACAGCGAGGGCTGCGTGTGATGCTGGGGCTCAACAAGCCCTGTGGGCACCTTGGACTTCTTAGGTAAACAAACCCCAGTGAAATCCTGCACTTCAGGGCTCCACAGCAGCCTCCACGTGTTAATGCAGGGTCTCCTCTGCTGCTCCCTAAAACCAGATGGCAGGTCCAGCAGCAGGAACCTCAGCAGGGCTCCTTTTAAACAGCAACCCTTAAATTCCATCTCAGGGGAGGTTTCTGTGGTGGGGCTTCCTGGGCAGCCCACGAGCAGTTGGCAGTGCCCTGGGGAAGGAGGGAAGTGTCTTGGGTGCAAATGCTTTGTACACACAAAGTCTACCCTGTGCAACTGCAGGACAGCATCTCCTACCAGGGCACGACCTCGTGCTCACCCCCTTGTGAGTCTGTTTCCTTGTCCTTGGGCAGGCAGTGGTGCTGGGAGCCCTGGGCTCCTTGTTATGGCACAGCTCGCTGGGGATGCTGTTGCCTCGGCGATGACTGAGGAGCCTGAAACATGAGAAGAATATCTTTCCTGGGCCACAGGCAGATGTGTGATCCCTCGGGGAGGGTGAAATGCTCTGCAGGACTCACTGCAGCATTAGCAGTGGCTGGTGGTGGAAAACATGGGTGGGCACATCCCATGGGGTTTGATCCTCTCCCTGTGTTGTGCTGTATCTTGGTGTTCAAACCACGTGATGTGTCCTGCATGGTTGTTCTTGTGGTGGTTTTCTGCTCTTTGCAGGTCTCTGGGACAGGGTGTGTGCCTGTGGTCTTCTCACATGGAAGATGATGGCCAAGAGGAATGGTCTGCACAGCTCACCCACCCAAGCCCGAGTGGATGGTGATGCAGATGGGATGGGGCTCAGCACCAGGAGGTCAGGCTGGTTGCTGGTTTGGTTGAAGGAGGCAGTGGTGGGGCAGGAGAGAGAAGGGCCAGCTCAATGGGTGTGCAGGGAGCTGGCATGGGCAGGGCTGTGATGCCAAACCTTAGCTGCCTGCTGCCTCCAGGTTGTCTGGCAGTGGGCAGGTGCCATGATGGCACAGTGTGGCTGTGACCCCCCCTTTTCCCCACTGCAGGACCTGCTCAACCCAGGATGACACCTCCTCAGAGCTACAGAGAGGAGCTTCTCAGGATGGAGGGGTGCAGCCAGCTGCCTCTGCTGTCCAAGGCAGGCAGGCCTTGGCCAGGTACCTGTGTGTGTCACTGGGCCTTTCCTTGGGGCAGGATACCTCCTGCTGTGTGGCATTCCAGGGTTGCAGGGACCAGTGTCTGTGAATGATGCTCTGCATGCCCCAGTGCCCATGCAGAGGGGTGTGGGAGGGCTCCATCACCTCTGGGGCCCCTTTCCCTTGCAGGCAGCCTCCATCTGCCCCAGTTGCCCACACATTCCTTCTGTCCCTGTGGAAATGGCAGCAGAACTGGGGCAGGAGCTGCAGTGCTCTGCCAGGGTGGGGGTCTCTTGCTCATACGTTCTTGGTCCTACACTGTCACCAGAAGAGAGGAGAAAGGAAATGCTTGGGCTTGAGAGGGAGCTGTGAGAGTTTTCTTCTTAGCAGTAGTGTGCCTGATTCCTCTTGAGATACTGCTTTCTCCTTGCTCCACACACACCTCCTGACTCTGCCTCTCTCCCTGCCCAGGATAGTCCGGCTGGTGCTGGTGCTGAGGGACTGGGCCAGCAAGAGCTTGCACGAGGAGCAACAAAGGCCAGACCCCTTCCTGGAGCGTTTCCAAGGCCCCGAGCTCCAGAAGGTGACTGCAGGTGCTGGCAACAACCTAGATGATGAGGAGACTGAGGAGGAAAACAAAAAGTAAGGTCCCTTCCCTGTGGCTGGAGATCAGCCATGCAGTGTGGGGTCTCCCAGCAGTGATGGCTGATGGAGGTGGATGGGGATGGGAAAGGGGGAGGTAGGATGCAGTGGTGGGAAGGGTCACCTGGCATCTCCAGCCTCTGTCCTGGCAGCCAGCCTGGCTTTGCTGAGCTGTTGTGCAAACAAGACCTTGTAGTTTGTCCCTGTTGTTTGTGGAAAAGACCTGGTCTGTGCCTCATCCATAGGGTCTTCTCTGCCCTGGCCCATTCCCTGCTGGGAAACACAGACTGCCTGGCTTGTGACAGCTACCAGACCTCCCCGTTTCCAGAGCAGTTCAGCACTGGGGTTGGCATTTGGAGGCAGTCCTGGGTCTGCAAAGAGATGCACATTCAGCTTGTGCCTCTGAGGAGCTGGGGACAAGCCAAGGGATGCAGAGTCTCCAGCCAGGGGAGCGCAGCAAGCACCAACACGTGGGATTTGCCAGGCTCATTCATCATCTGCAGGATGAAGGGAGATGAAGGGACTGCATTCACTGCTCATGTCCCCTCCCCGAGCAGACGCTGTGACAGCAGCTTTCTGAAAAGGCTCTTTCAAATCCAGCCCTTTCATCTCCTCAGCTTACACTCCTGGTGAAAAGCAATGACCTGTCTTTTCTTCTGCTGGCTAATTAAAGGGCAGAGCTCACAGACTACTCTGGTCCCTACCATTATACATGGTAATTAAAACACCAAAAAAATTATTGTTTTCTGGAGGAGAAAAATATCTGAGCCTTGTATCTGGGTCTTTACTAGTCATGGCAAAAAACATTCTACCCTGCAAGGTTAAGGGGAGCTTGTTAATTATCAGAGGGAGCTGGAGTGTGCCATGAAAGGGCTGCTCAGTGCCAGGGGGCTCCTGGGGAGATGGTGGTAACTTTTCCTGTTTTCTGGGTCCTCAACTCCACAGGTAAGGGGAGGCCACATCTGGTAACTCTGAATGTGAGCTGTTGTTCATGGCTGTGGGATCCTCCACAGTTGCAGGTTTCAGGAAGAAGCAGATGATTATTCCCTCTTCCTGGGTTAACCCAGAGCTCTGGTTTTCCAAGGCCTGGCCCTGCTATCAGTGTGATGTCAGTGAGTTTGCCCACCTGCTGTGTGCAGCACTGGTGATTTAAAGCTGAAATTATCAATATAATTAAGACTATTACTGGTTTTATTAGTGCTTGTGGATGTTATAACCGTACTGGCTGGCTGTAGGTGGGTCAGGGCCATCCATGTGTTGGTGCTGTGTCCCAGGGAGCAAAAAGTCCTTTTCCCCAAAAAACCCAAACCCATTTAAGTTGCACTTCTTGAGCAAAAGACAAGCACTTTTAATGGGGAGGTTGGACCATCTGCTCATCTGTGACTGTACCCAGAGTGAATGTGAAGGACTGCTGCTGGCTTTGCTCCTGTCCCCATGGGCTAGGAGACTTCAAGGCAGAGGTTTTGCTTTTGAAGCTGTCAGAAGCAGTGAGGTGGGAATCTGTTGGCAAGTGGGTTGTTTTTTTCCTGTCACTGGAGTGAGTTTTGTGTGTTCAAAGCTGGAAGGGAGGGAGAAAAGAGAGGGGGAGAGAGAGTTTTGCCCTACCAGGCTGCTAAGCCTATCAGCCCAGCTGCAGAGTTTCCCTTCCCTGGCTTCTCCAGTGAGATGTGGTGGCTGGAGCACACGTCTTATCTCAGAGTCCCAAGATGAGCACTTGGGAGCAGTTCAAAGGCTGGGCCCAGGACTGAGCAGACTGCATGTGGGCAGCTTTGAGCAGCCTGGTGATGGCAGCCTTGCAATGCCAGCCACCTCCTGGGTTGCTGCTCTGGGCCTTGGGCATTTCTTCCTGGTGCTCCCACTTATCTGCAGCACACTCTCCTTCCTGCTGTAATTAACCTTCTCTTAAGATCTGTCTGGCATCAATTCATAACTCATCTGGGAGAAGCAAGGTCATGCAATGAGAAGTTTTCTGATGCATCTTCCATACATCTGTTTCTGGCTCTGTCACCAGGCTGCCGTGGGCCTCGAGGTCACCTGCTCTGCCTTCCATTCCTACAAGTTCCCTCTCCTGGTACATGGCTGAGCCCATTTTGGGGGTTAAAGCAGCTGAAATAGTGCTGGGCATTTTTGCTCAGCGCTGCTGGGAATGGTTTTAGCTTACAGACCTGGCACTGAAGCTGCAGCAATGGTTGAGCCAGTCTGCTGAAAGGGATGAAGGATGTGACCTGGATGGTTCCTTCCAACTCTACTTGCTGTGTTTAGCTCTTTATTTGTACATTGCCAGCTCTGGCTTCTCTCTGCTTCCAGGAAGAAGAAGTGGCAGACCTTTGTGGTTGACCCTGCAGGGGACTGGTATTACCGCTGGCTGGCTGTCATTGCAGTTCCTGTCTTCTATAACTGGTGCTTGCTGGTAGCCAGGTGAGTTGGGAGGTTGTAGGGTCCCTGTCTCCTCTGATCTCCTGTTCACTTAGCTGCTGTGGCTCAGCCAGGATCAGACAACTGAGACTGGTGGTGCTGGGTCTGATGGGAACCCAAAGGACAGGGACATCTACTAGCACTGTGACTTCTGCAGTGCAAAGGCAGAGCATCCATCCTCTGGTCCCAGCTGGAAAGACCCATATTTTCAGGGTAAAGCTGGCAGGGTGCATCTGGGAGGTGGTTTCAAGATGTTGCTTTACCTAGGTCAAGGAAGGGCAGATTTTTCAGAAAAATGGGTTTTAATTTCTAGAAGAAGAGGAGCAAGAAGGGCCAACCTCTGTTGCCGAGTTGGAGATGGTACAGAGATTTGTTCTGACCTTTCTCCAGGGCTTGCTTCAGTGACCTGCAAAAGACCTATGTTGTCCTCTGGCTGGTGTTGGACTACATCTCAGACACCATCTACCTTGGGGACACAGTGATCCGGCTGCGCACAGGTAAGAAAAGCCAGCACCCTGGCTTGGGACTGCTTGGTTTCATCCCCTCGAAGGGGAGAGGAGCTGCAAGGGACAGGCCTAATCTCCAGCTCCATTAGAAGGAGGGTTTTATCAACCTTGGCACCCTCTGGTATGAAGCAGAGAAAGAATCTAATTAAAAGATCTGAGAAATGGAGTAAGTTTCCAAATGAAAGATTAATCATCCCAGCTTTCAGTTTCACCTTTGAGTAATTGTACCAAATCACCTGCATTACTATTAGTATTCAGGCATAGTTGAAGGTCTGCATCTCTGATTTTGCATCAGTCAGCTAATGAATTATCTACACAGAAAAGTGGGAGAATTTCATGTTCCTGGAACGTGGCAGGTGGCTGTGTGTTTTCTGTTGGAACTGCAGTAATTCATGATCTGGAGGATGGAAATCTATGAGTCCCCATTTCTTCATGGCAATGGAGTAAATCCCTAAGTGGTATCTTCGAGTGGCTTTTGCCAGGTGAAGGGCTTGAGCGATAACAAAAACCTATCCAAAAGATCAGGTGGATGCCTCTGTGTATATATATGTACACATGTGCATGGCATTCCAGAAAATGTTTCTCAGAAGGGCTGACAAAGCCTGCAGAGGAGTTGAACGTAAGCCAAGATAATTCTATCATTGCTTCCCTGTTAGGTTTCTTGGAGCAGGGCCTCCTGGTTAAGAACCCGAAGAAGCTGCGGGATAACTACATCCCCACCTTACAGTTCAAGCTGGATGTTCTCTCCATCCTGCCCACAGACCTGGGGTACTTTGCTGTGGGGCTGCACTGCCCCGAGCTGCGTTTCAACAGGCTGCTGCGTTTCTCCCGCATGTTTGAGTTCTTCGATAGGACCGAGACCAGAACCAGCCACCCCAACATCTTCCGCATCAGCAATTTGGTTCTTTACATCCTGGTCATCATCCACTGGAATGCATGTATTTATTATGCCATTTCCAAGGCCATAGGCTTTGGACAGGACACCTGGGTCTATCCCAATGTCACAGACCCTGAGTATGGCTATCTGACCCGGGAATATGTCTACTGTCTCTACTGGTCTACGTTGACTTTGACTACCATTGGAGAGACCCCTCCCCCTGTGCGTGATGAAGAGTACCTCTTCGTGATCTTTGACTTCCTCATCGGTGTCCTCATATTTGCCACCATTGTGGGGAACGTGGGGTCCATGATATCCAACATGAACGCCACCAGGGCAGAGTTCCAGGCAAAAATTGATGCCATCAAGCACTACATGCAGTTCCGCAAGGTGAGCAGAGACATGGAAACCAAAGTCATCAAGTGGTTTGACTACCTGTGGACCAATAAGAAGGCAGTAGACGAGCGGGAAGTCCTCAAGAATCTCCCCGATAAGTTAAAGGCAGAGATTGCCATCAACGTTCACCTGGAGACACTGAAGAAGGTGAGGATTTTCCAGGACTGTGAGGCAGGTTTGCTGGTGGAGCTGGTGCTGAAGCTTCGCCCTCAGGTGTTCAGCCCCGGGGATTACATTTGCCGGAAAGGAGACATTGGGAAGGAGATGTACATCATCAAGGAGGGGAAGCTGGCTGTGGTGGCAGATGATGGAACCACACAGTATGCTTTGCTCACTGCAGGATGCTGTTTTGGGGAGATCAGCATCCTCAACATTAAAGGGAGCAAAATGGGCAACAGGCGCACAGCCAACATCCGCAGCTTGGGCTACTCTGACCTCTTCTGCCTGTCAAAGGAAGATCTTATGGAAGCAGTCACAGAGTATCCTGATGCCAAAAAGGTCTTGGAGGAGCGTGGCCGGGAGATCCTGATCAAGGAAGGGCTGCTGGATGAGTCAGCTGCAGAGGCAAGCACAGAAGAGCTGAGTGTGGAGGAGAAGCTGGACAGGCTGGCCTTGAACCTGGACACGCTGCACAGCCGCCTTGGCCGGCTCCTGACCGAGTACAACGAGGCCCAGATGAAGCTCAAGCAGCGCATCACTGCTCTGGAGTCCAAGATGAGGCAAGAGGATCTGGAAGGCTTTTTCTCTGATAGCTCAGACAGTCTGTTTGAGGATGAGGAGAAGGCTTTACCTGGTGGGATTCAATGAGGAAGTGCAGAGGTCAGCAAGGTGATGTCTGGCCTTGTGCTGAGACAGTGGTTGCTAGTTCACAAGGCAGGTCCTGTTGTTGTCTTGCCAGGGACTTCTCTCAGATCCTTAGCATTTCTGCTGACACTGCCTTGATGGCAGCTCCTGAGATGGCTCCAAACCAGGTGATTGTCCCAGCTCGTCCTCCAGCCTGTCCCTTTTCTCATTGCCTTCATCTGGGGCCTTGGACTTGGATCACTAGAAAGAGGAGAATGGCTAATGCCTCTGTCTTCTTCCAGCTTCTGCAAAAGGTTTATGTCCATCACATCTTCTTCTACATTAACAAAATGTGGGCCATGGAGGGGTACCTGCACATGCTGACCTCCCATGTATGTTGAGGAGATGCACAGTCACAGTGGGCAGAGCCTGGCATGTGCCACCTCCCCATCTGCACTGGAACCAAGGAGGGAGAAGATGCTGCATTCCTGGCAGATAACAAAACCGCCCCCAATCAAGAGAGACTAAAACACAAACAAGATATTTACAAACACGTCTTGGGTTCAGCCTTTGTAACTCCCTTCAGGTGAATGGTCACTCAGTGCCTGCAGACACCCAGTCTGCACCAAGAGACTCCTTGCCTGCAGGATATCAAAACTCAACCAAGACAGCTCAACCTGTGCCTCATGTCTGCAAATGGGGAGGCTTGTCTGGGTCACTGTCACTACCTAGGTCATGTCCACCACCCATACTGAGGCTGCACATCTAGCTGGAAGGGCAGTAAGCTGGTGTCCTCTTGCCTGCCTCTCTGTTGCCTTCTTTTGTATTTGGTGCTGTCAGATGGCACCTGGCACCCCAAGCCCCACACCTTCCTGGGGGATGGCATTCCCAAGCCCTCCTGCTGAGCCTGATTTCCTTTTAGGCTCTGGATGTCTTGGATGACAAGTACAATACAGAGGGAGAGTCTCACTGCTTTGACAACCCCAGTTCTGCTATGTGCAGAAGACAATAGCTGTCTTCTCCACCTAGTGAAGGCCAGATGTGCCAAGAAGGGTTTGGCTGAAATGACAAGTTTTTAAGGAACAAAGCAGAGTGGGGCCCAACTGTGCCTGTGTTGGCTTTGCTATGGGCAGCTCAGAGAGCACAGAAACCATTTATTTTCTTAGGTGGGAAGTTTTCTTGTACTCAGGGGAGTTTTGCAGCTTTGCAGGTCAGTTGCCTCCTGTAGGAGAAATGAGTGGCAGAGCCAGGGAGACCCAAGTGGAAGGGGGAGAACCTGGCACCACCACACGCACCAGGCTGTGGTGGGATCCCATGCTGGGATCAGCTTGTTGGTGAGGGGTGCAGGGCAGGATAGGCCACCAAAACCCTGCAATCCACAACAACTTCAGCACAAGCAGGAATAATAAGGATGCTGTGCAGGTGCTGAGACTGGGGGATGCAGCTTTTGTCACACAACTTGCCCTGTCCCACGTATCCCTACCTGGGACCTCCTGCCCACTGGGTCTGTGGGTGGGCTGGTTTCCAAGAAGGAGAAGGTTTGATGAAGAAGGGAATTTTGAAGGAATTCATGTTTTGGGTCAAATTCAGCCAATTGTTTGGCTAAAATAATGGGATGATGCATCTCATTGGCACCTTGGGATGATGGGTACATCAACTCAGAAAGGTTCATGGTGGAAAACTGGAGGTGTTTGCTTTGTCCTGTCTTTTCCCTCGAGACTCCCTCTCTTCCTTTTGTTGCAGAATTTTCCATTAAAAAACAATGGCCTTGCTTGTTTTTTGGGATTGGTGGGGGAGGGAAGGTTAAATGAACCAATTTAGAATTTGGGGATAAGATTAAAAACGGTTTTATCATCTCTCGATGAAATTGTAGGGTTTGTTTGAGGGTTTTTTTGCTGTTGTTTGTCTGTTTTTGTTGTTGTTTGGGTTTTTTTAATACTAAAATAATATTGGCAAAAGATGAGGTGATTTCTGTTCCACTGCTTCTTACCACACCTAGAGCCCTGGCTCCAGCTTTTCCTGTGAATTACCCCTCCCGAGTTTGCCTCTTGCTCCTCTGTGGTCCTGAGGGTGCCTGAGGCAGCTGGGAGAGGGTGCTGGGAACCGGGAGAGGGTGCTGGGAACCGGGAGAGGGTGGTGGGAGCCTGGAGAAGGTGCAGGGAGCCTGGAGAAGGTGCAGGGAGCCTGGAGAGGGTGCAGGGAGCCTGGAGAGGGTGCAGGGAGCCGGGAGAGGGCGGGGAGACTGGGGA